GTTGTAAGCGGGTGGACCCCTGTTTTTTTTTAAAAAAAAAATCGTTTTCTTCGTCTATAAATAAAATCATATGCAGCTATCCTACATGTTCAAGAACAAAAAATGTTTGGTAGGCTTTGTTATTTGAAAGAAAATAGTTTAATAGATATTTTTACGAAATTGACTAAGAGCATATCTAGCAAGCTAGTGCATATCTAAAAAGAGAAGTTCTAACAGATACTTTTATGTACCTTATTGATTAATAAAATATCTATTATCTAAAAAAAATACTCTTCTGGAATATTTAGGTTGTGCTAGCTAATAATCTAACCAGGATGTGGTCAAGTGAATCTTATTGTCCTTTTATTCTCTCAGGTCTTTATATTCAAGTCTCCATAGATATGGACAAATAAGTGTTATTTACTTATTGTCCTTTTTATTCTCCAAGGTTTTGTACTCCATACTATAAGTCATGGACATCGCTGGCAACGTAAAGATATACTAATGTGATAGTGATGCAGAAAATGTTGCCTAGGAAAGTATAAAAATAATAAAACCAACTTAAAGAAATGATACTTGTTTCAACCAAATTTACGGTATGCACAACACTAGATACAACAGCTACTTCTAGACATCTACAGATATCTACTTGTCCTCGGCATCTATTGACAAGTGGAGAGATAAACCTTATAACACATTGTCTGTGAGTAACTTGAATATTACATTAACAAAATAGGAGATCCCTATGCTAAATATTTTCCCCTATGTACCATGGAGTATACCTTTTTGTTAGTATTTCTCATTCTTAGCCCCCATTCTATTTTTCTTCAGGGAATTCTTTGCCACATTCAATGGTGTGTGGAAAATGTTTTTCCGAGCCTTTCTGCTGCTTAGGAAATTTTCAACACCTCCTATGAGTCGGCTCTTGGAGGAACACACATCAAGCACGATCGGAAACGTTGTACTGTATCTCCCGCATAATGATTATGGAGTTGGCACTCGAGATCAAGATATCAGAATAGTATATTTTTCTGTTTTCAATTCTTCCTCTCCACAGAGCTCTTCCTAGCCTCGGCTTGTGAGAGTAAGCGCGCCTCCCAGCCAACTAAGAATTTGTCGGCCTTCGCAATGGTTGGTTGCAGGTCTGCTGTTCTCAACTTTTGGATTGACAAAGGAAGACCTAATTAGGACATTAGCAGGGATTCCTGTTTGCATTGCAGAGTGTGAATCAGCTGAGACTCTTCCTCCGCTCCCACATAGATGCATATCATTGTGCTCTTACTAAAGTTGATTTGCAGACTTGTTGCCCTAGAAAACTCGTCTAGGCAATGCTTTAGTGGTGTTACATAAGCAATCGAAGCTCGTCAAATAATCAATATAACATTGGCATACTGCAGAGCTGTACGAGGTCTCTGAGGGTACAGATGGTGTCCAGAGCAGGGTTTGCTCTAAGAAGGCATTGGAGCACATCTGCCGGATGAACAAGTAAGGTGACATAGGATCACCTTGACGTAGCCCTCTCTTACAACCGATCCACCTGCCCAGGACTTCATTGAGAAGGATAGTTGACTTTGAAGTCTGCTACATGTTGATCACCCAATGGATCCAAGTATCGGGAATCCTCTTGCCCTCATAATATCTAGCAGACTTTCCCATCTTATGGTTTAGGAGGAATTATATGGTGTTTGACAAATTTCTAATTAAATCTTATTGGCATATATTTTTCAGGGAAATATATTGGTTTTGGTTCTAAGCACAACTACAAATGTGTGAAAAGTACAAGAAGCTAAAACATACTGCATATCAAAACTTGGAGTCCACGGCCATAAATATATTTGCCAACTACGAATAGAGATTTACAAATAGACTTAAATAAATATTTTCTCCTCAAGTGTTGGTGTTTATTACTTTATATCCTCATGTTAAATACTGCATATTAGTTGTTTTCTGTTAAGCAAAATATGTAATAAGTGTCTGTAGCTTTCTTTAAGCAAAGGTCAGGATTTATTTCATTATGTAAAAATGTACGTAATCTTCTTTCTTTCATTTTTTTTTCAAAAAGAAAAAACAGGGAGGCAGAGTTTGTGGTGTTGCAGAAAGTCGCTCGCACAACACAATCCGCAGTGCGTGCTCAGCTGAGAAACAGAGCAAAAAGGCTCCCCCTTTTACCAGCTGTAAGTCATAAGTAGTGCAGGCGGGCACCGGGCAGCGCGAGGAAACACCTGCATTCATGCAATGGCTGCACACCGGTTGGGTCGGTGAGGGCAGCCTTAGGGCCTTTTCTGATCATGGAGATGAATGCCTATTTAGGAGAATCTCAGAATCTGCACTTCCCTACATCATGTTTAAAGCATGCTATTTACTCTGTTTTGAAATTACTTAAATTTGTATTGTACTTCCTCCAGTTTTTAATATATGGATTTTTAATATATGACGAGTGACTTAATCGCTTGTCTTATTTAAAAACTTTATACAAATATTAAAAAATATAAGTTAGGTTTAAAAGAAACTTTAATGACAAAACAAGTTGCAATAAAATAAATGATGATTTATATAATTTTTAATAGGACGAATGATCAAATTTATGTTCAAAAGTTAACGACGTCATATATTAAAGCCGGAGGTAGTACTCTATTAGCTTTTTGAATTTTCTATAAAACAAATCATCATGGTATTTAAGCATTTTCATATGATAAATTTTATGGTGGTCTATTGGTAGTAGAATTAATCTTGTCTTATCTAATGGATCACATCTATTTATATTACCAGTGGAATATTTTTTTTTGATAGTACAACTCAAAATAATGGCTTAGATTCCAGTAAAAAAAAATAATGGCTTAGATAGCTTCTACTGATAATACTGGCAATGGAAGACTACTACCGGTAGAAACCACTGTCAAAATACACTTCCCTCCTTTGGCCTTCCAGCATCACGACTATTCTCAAATGACTCGTGTTTGCCAATTGCAAGAAAAATCGTTAGCTATAAGATATACTCCCTCCGTCCACAAAGCGACCATTCCTAGCATCCCCAAGAGAAATTAGTGGAAAGTGAGAATTACTAAAATACTCTTAATCATTGAAAAAAGTTGTAAGAGTGATAGGTAGTTAAAGGGTATTGAAGGAATAAAACTTCTCCTTTCACGTGCTGAGGGTAGGTGGGATAGTACTCCGTAGTTACGGTGCAAAAGTCTAAAATGACTTGTTCGTTAGATAGGAAGAAATATTCCCTAAAAGTGGATAGGAAGAAAAATGGCATAAACTACACTAAAAAAGTGGAAAGAGTTAGGTAACGTAAAAAACAACACCTTGAGACCGTTCCAATAATTGTTCAATAAGGTAAACCAAACAAGAAGAGTGTTTTTTTTTCTCTAAAAAGTGAGAGGGAACTTCACAAAACCTCCTAACAGTATTTTGAAATAGGTGAAATAGATATTTCACCGGCTTTAATATATTATCAAAATATATTAAATGTTAGTTTGAATGAAATTAATTTTGTGTTGTAAATGCTATTAAAGTTTTCTATATAATCGATTAAAATTAAAGAAATGTGACTAGAAAAAAATCAAAAAGCCTTAAAATATGGAACAGATAGTGTACAAAATAAACTACTACTATAATTGGAACTATATTATAATTTTTCACAGATTTTAACATAAATATGTTACTGCCCACAAGTTAAATCACAAGACTTGTGGAGCCTTAATTACCACAACCTGGACATCTGTAACATCCTTTGATTGTCCGACACACTTCACTTCCTTTCCTTGTTCCCTACGTCCAATTCAATCTTAATTTGATCTGTGCTCTCCACTAGAAACCACAAAATCAAAGTGGAGATAAAACATCAAAGACCGGTCAAAAGTCACATCCCCCTTGTTAATCTATTTCCAATTATTGACCTGAAACAATCAACCTTTGTGAATGTCAATGGCTGCGATTATATCTACAAATAATGTGTACTTAATTAACCATGTTCATTTACATATATACTCGATTGAGAAAAGAGTGATTGATCCATAGTTTGTACCAGGTTCAAAATTTTGTTTTGTGTATTTCTACCAGGGGTACCAATAGGACAGGAATTTCAGAAATTGCGGTAATTTCGGTCCAAAATTTTTGATCAAATTTAAAGAAAATTTGCCAAATTCAAAAAAATGAAAAAAAATCCAAAACATTTGGGAGATAAATTTCGTATAGGAGGGTTGATAGACCCAAAATTTTTAACCATGGTTTGTACTTCACCATTTTGATATAATAGATTCAAAACCTTATATTAAAGTTTAGTTCAGATTTGATCCCAAACCCAAAAATTACAAAACAAATCTACACCTTCCTCCCCTCCAAACAGAGTTACTACACGTGATTAGTAGGTCTTGATGGCCCCCCATCTCTCCGCCGTCCACTCTGACTAGCGAGTACGAAGTTCTTCAGACTCCACTAGCAAGGCTAGCCATTACTTCCCCCTCCTAAAATATAAACATTTTTAAAATAGTGTAAAGTCAAATATTTTTTCTTTGACTATTAATAACGAAAAAATAAAAAAAATCAATCACGTAAAACTCATGTTACTAAATTTATCATTAAAGAGATACGTAACTCTTTTTATCTAAAACATCTTACTTTTATAGATATTATTAATTAAAATAGTATATATAAGACTATGTTATAAGTTTAAAAATAATTATATTTTAGGACAGGGAAGGAGTTCATAACTGTGTGAGGGAGGGAGCCCCTTGACCGAAAGCTCAAGTACAGCTGCAAACTCTGCCATTCCCACTGTTCATCCAATGTTGCAGATCCAAACACAAAGCAGCCATCGACTAGTAGAGTAGTTGTCGATCGACCAAGCTAGCACCAACGTGGAGCCAATCGGCAAAAGTCGCCCTCGGATCCTGCTGCAATGCCCGGCTTTGCCATCCATCCATCGCCCACTGCACGATCGATTCGATTCCGAAGGACCACCACCGTATTCAGAGATCAGTAGATCGATCATCACAGCAATCACATTACACAAGAGAGACTGGAAAAGCTTGCAACCAAGAACCCTACAAACTCTGTCTGAATTATCCATCTCTCTCACACACACTCAAGAAAATACAATGCAAAGTTGCAAAGGCTACAACAATGGCAGTAGCTCACTACTACAGGTTACAGGCAACCAGTGTAGCAGCCACATGCATTTGGCAGCCATGCACCGGCGCCGCCATAGTAGCAACATGCGCGCGCACACACACACACACTCACTTTGAGCAGGAGAAGGCTTTTGATCAAATCAGAGTTAAGGCCATGGACCATGGTACTTGCAGCTGCTGCAGCAACAGCTTTCTTTGCTCTCTCCTTCGCTTGCATTGAACTGGCAGACGGATTAGACATTACTCCCATCGTTTTTATCTGCAGCTACTGTTCCTAGTAGCACTGTTCTTCAGCTTCTCTCTCTTCTTCTTGACTCCTTCCCGGGAAGTGCAGTGTGAGTGCAATGTGCAGGCTAAAGTGTTTTTTTTTTCTTCCATCCTTGTGTACAGTGATACACTCTCACTCTCACTCACTCTGTCACTGTCTCACACGAGCAGTTTGAGTTTTCTCCTCTCCTTAGGAGAAGCTCGATCAAGCTCCATCGATCTTGATATCCTTTGTGTTTTTTTTGGTGTTTTTGTTTGTTTGATCCTCTCGATCTCGCGTGCTGCTGGGATTAATTTAACCAAGCCAATCCAATCCGGGATCGATCAGCGAGCGCACTGCCAAGAACAAATTGTTTGGCAAATGCTGTTGCATCGATCAAAGAAGTGAAAAAAATTTGTAAGGAAATTGGAAGAGAAATGGTGATGACGTGCTCGAGACGACGGACAAAAACCATGCGTGTCCCGGCCGCCGCCGCCGCTCATCGGAGGATGCCTCCCGGCAGCTCCAGCCTCATCCTCTTGCTGCCACAGCTCGCCGCCGCCGGGAAGGAGGCGGCGGTGGCGTCGTATGAACTCGCGGCGTCGGTGGACTCGGAGCACGACGACGACGACGATCTCTTGCCGGTCGTCGTCGTCGTCGACTTGCTCGCCGGTGAAGTTGGCTGGCTCAGCATCGCGCTGTAGCACGCGAACACGTCCTCCTGATCGATCGAACACCAAAACAAGGGAGATTTTGTTAATAATCCATGGAGATGAGCATGAGCATGCAGGTGTTCGACGGCGACCGACCTTGTCGAGGAGGAAAGATGGGGAGAGGCCGCTCATCTTGGACTCCAATGCCTCCCTCGTCAGCGCGCCGTGTGTCGCCGCGAGCACCGCGGCGGCGGCCACCGTGGACGGCCGGTGGTCGAGCACGCTCGCCGCTGCAACCAAAAAAAAAAACAGAGCACACGGATTGGTTCCTCCTCGAACGCATCAATGGATCGATCGATCGATCGATGTGGGTGTCATACCTTCGGCGGCGGAGAAGATGAGGGCGGCGGACGCGCCCGCGCCGCCGCCGCCGCCGACGTGTCGCCGGAGCCTGGAGGAGAGGCAGGGGAGGTAGTCGAACGGCGTGACGGCGGCCATGCGCCAGTCGAGCGTGGAGAGCACGAGCAGCTCCATGCGGCGGATGCAGACGCAGCTGAACTCGTAGCCGTCGTCGCCGACGCCGGCGCGGAACTCCGACAGCGCCGGCGCCCGGTACTCCTCCATCTTCGCCGCCAGCGACACGCACGCCACCGCCAGCAGCCGCGCCGCCCACGGCATCACCGACCTCTGCACCCCACCCACACCCATGACCCATCAATGGAAGCCATCCAAGAAACAGGGGAAAGAAGCTATAGCTAGCAACCGTTGACCAGCGAGATCAACCCACGTCGATGCATCGCCGGAGGCAGAAACGGTCGAAGTAGGCGATGGCCAGGTACGCCGTGCGGTGGCAGAATCCGAAGCACCCTCGCGTCTGCAAATGGCGGCGGCGGCGGCGGCGGCGAGATGTCAGGTCAGAGATGCTCTGTTCCATCAAGAAAAACCCAAACCGGAGAAAACGATCATTCACCTCGAGGATCCACTTCACGGTGGCGCGCCGCGCGAGTGCGAACCAGTCCATCGGCGCCGCCGCCGCCGCCGACTCGCCGCCGGCGTCGGAGAAGCAGCACGACGACGACGACGTAGAAGAAGAAGAGGAGCAGAAGCTGCTCTCCTTGGACACGAGATGGTCCATGTACTCCTCCACCTCCTCCTCATCCTCGTCGTCGGCGGCGGCGGCGGCATTGTAAACCAGGAGCAGGTCGGCGCGGCCGTCGCCGGCGAAGCAGCCACCGCCGCCGCCGTCGTCGTCGAGGTCGGTGCTATCCTCCTGGCACATGAGGGAGAAGGAGCACCCGGCCGAGTACTCGTCCTCTGCCTCCATCAAACCCACAACCGTTCGACCCCCTAGCTACTTAGCTAGCGATGACGTACGACCGCCGATGAGCGGCTCACCGGCTAGACAGCCATGAGTGCGACCTCTCCCGGCCGGACTCCGGCCGCCGGAGTGGGAGCGGATGGTCGGAGAAGGAAGGAGAGAGCGAGGTGGTGGCAATGGCATCGCCTTTGAGCCGCCGCTATTTAAGTGAGTGTCTCACACTCTCACTCCACTACTCTTCTTTAGTTATCCAAAACATATACATATATATTAAAAAAATACTGTCTCTGTCCCAATATAAATGTAGATGTGGTTTTTTATGTCCAACGTTTGATCGTCCGTTTTATTTGAAAAATATTGACGATTAGTATTTTTATTGTTATTAGATGATAAAACATAAATAGTACTTTATGGTAACTATTTTTTAAAAAAATATATAATTTTTTTAAATAAAATGGATGGTCAAATGTTGGTCACAGAAAATCACAACTACACTTATGAGACAGAGGTAGTGTATCTATTTTTTGTTTTGTCCTTGTGAGCGACCTTGAGCATCTCACTTCGTCAAAATGTGTTGCTCAAGCTTAGCAAAATTTCATACTGTCATTATAACAAGCAAGGTCACTGTTATCTTTTTGATGGTCCATACCGAAAGAAACTAGAGAATTATATGGATTATCATGAAATGGAGGAGCTTCAATATCGGGAGTTGTCACACATTTTACTGTTAGCATATTATGGCGCCTCCTAGTACCTTAGCACTTGAAAGGTATCAGATTGATTTCTTGAATAAGGTGGTATACTCTCTCTGGTAAAAAAAAACATATTTGGGGCAAGATTCAGTCAGGCTTTTAATTTTTCAATCATCGGTACTTCTCAAAATTCTTAGTTTAAAAACAAAACAAAATGATATATGTATATATTTTTCTTGAAAAGTACAATTATAACATCATGAACTTATTAGATTTTATAAACTTATTTTAATAGAAAATTTGAAAATTTGATCGAATCCTGCCCGAAATGTCAAATACTATTTATGAATCTCAAAGAGTAGTGGTGTACTTTCTACTGTACGAAATCTTGTACTTCAAATTCTTTGATCTAAAAGCTAGGCTTGACCACTTGTGCGGAACCAGAATTTGGTCGGGTCCAATTCACAAACAGTATCCATGACGTGTCTATCAAAAATTCAGTTTGTATTTCCTAACTGAATTTTTCGGCCATCAAACTGGAAAGAAATGCTTAGCCACACAAAAATCTGCCGCAAGCCTGCAACTATATGCTTATAGTACTGTGCACGTCAATTTTCACCTAAAACTTGTCGAATTTGCCAAGGTGTCAAGACTGAAACACATTCATAAATCAATGGATGCCAAAAAAAAAATGACACAAAACAAATTCTTGTCCAATTTAATCTTCATCCAGCTGAGCTGAGGCATATACACACACACACACACACACACACACATTACATCACCATGACAGAAAAAAAAAATTAACCCAACTCTGGTCTGGTCAAGGCTATTAATTCTAATGCTAAACAGAACGTGATCCAATGCCCCATCTATCAAGAACAAGAGCAGGCAGGCAGGCAGGCACAGGCTTGCAGGCTTTATATAAAAATGGGGGCTTGTTGTTGCAACCTTTGAGAGGGTATTCCCAACCACCTCTTTTGTAGCATTTCATGTCCTTACGCATTTCCTTGATTTCGTCCATGACGCCGAGGTTAAACTTAAACGACGATCTAATTAAGTCCTCTTAATGTGGCCAAGAAATAATGGCTGCATTTCTTGTGCAAGTGTACCTTAGCTTCAGACAAATGCCACTTGACTAACGTGTCATCCGTTGTGGGACCCAGGGATTTGGAGGGGAAAAAAAATCTAATAGCAGTAGTAGAAAAGAAGTGATGAAAGGTGAGTAGAAGAAAAGGAAACTTTGGGACATAATGCAGACAACACTGGCATCTGGCCTAAAAATATTGCAGAGCATCTGAACATTGTAAATCTCAAAACACATATTGTAGAGTTGGTGTGTGTTCGCTAGCTGTGTCATCTTGGCAAACTGGATTGAACTAATAATATTGGATCAGATCATGGTTAGGTTTGTTCGATTAGAGGCACGCAATTTGGGGGATTTAATTTAGAAAGTAAATTGCATTAATTAGTGGTTTATGAACTTGTGATGAGATAGGTTTAATTTAGTATAGTGTAAAAAGTTGTAAGATACTCAAACTGATGTAATGACGTGTTTAGTGGTGCAAAACATGGTCAAACCCTATAGTGTTTTCAATATAAAGTAAAATATATTGATTTCATGGAAAAGGAAATATTGATATATTGATCTATATACTACTTAAAATATAAGTAGTGGTGGTGTTTATTTCCACACCACCTCTATCACTAACAGCTAGGCCTTACAATCTATACTATTAGACCACCTTTCAACAAATCCTCCACTATTTTATTATTCATTTTCCCCAAATTTCAAAATCACCTACTTATTCAATAAAAAAAATCATACAATTACTTAGACTAATTAATTAATTCAATAAGCTAGAAACTCAATTTGTTTTCCGTTATAATGCACGGGCTCTAGGGTAGTTATACAAAATGATGTATTGATTTTGGAGGAAGGATTTTCGTGGCTTAGCTGGAGGAAGGGTTTTCGTGATGTACTGATTAGAGTTCTTTTTGTTATCTCAGTGTCTTTGGTCCTGGAGGATTTGGATGGTTTTTTCCTATCCTTTTCTGTCACCACGGTAGTTAGTGGGGTCACGTAAATATTTAAATCTTATTATTTTTAATGTAATGATACGTAGTTCTCTTGCATATTCTACTTTACTTTTATATATAGTACATATTATATATATAGTACATATTTTACTTTTCACTGAGTATGTTTAATGTCGCGTACTATGGTTGCACTTTTGATTTTCTATAATTACCCATTGAAATTGAACTGTTGAGATCTTTATTCCTAAGAGTTTTGTACAGTAACATTTTTTTAAGTAAGTAAAGCATACGGTCGATTGATTATAATCTCATGATCTGATGTTGCACGGCATCTTGAGGACTCTGACCTAAAATTCTCTCCCATGCATGCCTTATATATGGCCACCTCATATCCACACTTGGTTGGCATCGGAATGATCATGGAAAAGGGCTACTCTGCCACCAAAGGATAGGTTCTGCAATTTGCAAAGGATGGGTGATGAACAATTGTTGCACCAATTCGAGCATGAAGATGAAATAATAATTAAATGTTTTACGAAAAAAAGTGGTATTAACGTATGATTAATTGAGTTTTAATTATTGTAAATTTGAAAAATAGATTTATCTGATATTTTAGAGCAACTTTCATATCAAAAGTTTTTGTACGAAATGTACAGTTTACCAGTTTAAAAAGCGTGCCATGAGTATCAAATTTTCATCCACTTTTTTCAGTAGGAACAAACGTACGGGTGCATGATATATTACCCATCTCACAAGTTCATTCGCCGCGAAAATACGGAACATGTCAGATGGATGCACATATCAAGCTAATAGTGGTTTTGATGTGAAATGTATAAGTTAACATCAGAAAGAATTGATGTTTCTTAGTTATTATCACAAGTTATTATAGTATCAAATGGTTGCTGATGTATTTTCATGGGGTCGCAGAGATCAGTGCCGTTATATGACATAAATAATGACCTGTCCAAATTCACTGGCAGCTGGTTGGTCAAAATAATTACTGTCGAGTATCTATAGTGGTAGAATTAATACTACTACGATCTCAACAAAAAAAAAAAAAGAAGTCACTACTCATCCTGAAGCCTGAAGGACATGTGATTTGCAGTTCTAGCATCTACTAGATGCCGTTCTATTTTCTTTTTCAGATAACGCAGTGCGATTACATTATTGAATTGCTACTATTTATGTACAGTTCACTTTCAGTAGAAATTAATCACCATTACTGTAAACACATGTGCTACCAAAACATCAGCACAAACAGTTGGATAAAAAAAACAGCAAGAAATCACGCATCAAGCGTCCACGTGAATCCTCAAGTGAACCGATCGACTCCATTTTTCAGGGCACAACTCTGAAACATCTAAACACATCATAACGCATAGCCTACAGGACATCATTTCGAAAGTAGGATTTTTGAGGAATTTCACAGGAATTGATATGTTTATTGTGATGATCCTGTAAAATTCATACATCCAAAGCAAAGTACTCGGGTATCTTTTTCTTGATAATAGAAATTAAGCTGGTGGTTACAATCCAAGTAGAACACTCAGATATTGCGAGCCTTATATATTGAAAAGTATAGCTCCCGCCAATTTATCAGAAATGGTGTCGAAACCTTGACAACTTTTACCACTATCAATTTTTTTTAATAAATATGTATGTTATTGGCAACTTTCAATAGCAAACCCTTGTAAAAGAACTATTTAAAATGCCAACAGTTTAGTAGGCAAAAACTAGTCTTCAAACAAAAACAATTCATATATATTTTGAGCTAGCGTCTTCCTTAAGTTTCGTCCAACACCCAAGCTGGCTAGAGCATCTCCAACAGACTACTTAAATTTGACTCTCCAAACACCTATATAGCCAACTATCCATCTGATTTGGCAAGTCAAACTCATTGATCACTCCAACAACCTCTCTATCTACACTCTCTATTCTAAATCTATGGCAGCGGGACCCGTATGTTAGCCTCTATTACCTTCTTCTTCCTCTTTCTCCCCTTTTTCTCCCCACCCATACTGCTCCCTTCTTCCTCTACTACTGCCACGAGCTCCTCCCAGCGCCCTCTACCTCCGCGGCGACAGCGGATTCATGTGTGTGTAAGGTGACGGTAGATGACGACGGACAGGTGAGGCGAGGCAACGCTCGGACGGCGAACGGTGACGGGCGCGCGAGGCGATGGCCATGCCGACGACGACAGGCGTGGATCCGTTCCTCGCCGACCTCTCTCGCTCCCCGCACCCCGGCCATCGCGCCCTCCCTCCTGTCCCCGGGAAGGATGAGGACGGCGGCTCGTGCAACCGCGGAAGACGGCCGGAGCAGAGCGGGACGATGGTGGCTGCCACAACGGAAGACGGCGCAGCGGCTGGTGTCATAGCAGCTCGTGGCCACAGCGGGGGGACGGCGGCGGGCGACGGCTTGATGAACAAGGTAGCACAGCTGATGGACGGCGTCGACGGCGCTCGATCTGGGAAGGAGACAGTACGGGAGAGGAGAGAGAGAGGAAA